GCACATGTTTGCCTTTTCGATTAAAAAGTCTTTGGTCTTTTAAGTGAAAAAAACGAGTGGGTTGATTTGAATAGCCGAACTGTTATTCGAGGAAGTCTATTCTGCATAGACCCGCATGACGATCATGTCAGACAGAATAAGTATGTCTACAAATTCATTTCAGGTGAACTAGCCGGTAAAGTCAATGTTGCTAAGGATCGGAAAATTCTAACGATTTTTTTGAAGGGCTAACCAGACCTTATACTGGATACTGTTGCCCGAATTATGAGCATCTTGCTCATAAGAACTATCAATATGCATGAGTTAATGGTAACTTACGCTTTCTCTGAAAGCGTTTATATCTGATAAAACTATTTAAAGACAAAAACGAGACTAAAACGACAACGAAAGTTTTAGGCTTGCTAAAGTTTTTGTATATATATGAATCAAATTCCTTCCATAATGCGTCAGATCTAATGATCATTAAATTTTAAGTAAATTTTTCGTGTATACTTCAAGGTGAGGATGTCATCGCCTGCTTGATTATACCGATAAGAACACTAGCATCACGTTTCTTCTCCAATGAAAGACGGAGGGTCAGTTTCCTCCGCACGCAGAGCTCCTTCAATTTTTGTTTGCATGTTTGTTTTCTTTCGTTTCGTATTGTTTCGTTTTTCTTTTTTCTTTTTTTATAGATTTAATATTCCTATTGACTAAATAGATTATGTGATGTTATTTTTTTGTTTGTTTCGTTGTTTATCAACGGACATCAGTGAGGTATTTGATATTCCTACCAAAATTAAAGTGTACAAGAAAGCTTGAAGTATTGGGTTGTTTTTTTCTTTCAGAATCCTCTTCCGCTTCAGCTTAATAGGTATTGAAATGCATATTTTTATGTCCCTTTGCAATTGGAGGGTCACCAACCTCTATTCACGCAAGGCTCCTTCAATAATGTGAATTTTCATAAGCGGATATCCGTTAACTACGAGCCAGACGTTCTTAGCAACCGAAAAAAGAGCTTTGGATCCTGCTGAGATCGAGGAGTTTTACTCCACGATCTCAGCTTGACGTCCAGCAGCTTGCAACATTCCATTGTAACAATATCCCTGCTACTGATCATTTATGTTACGCTGAAAGTGCGAACTTTCGCGCGAGCGTGTTATAATCCTGAAACGAGAGTGTGCGTTTATAATTAAAATTTCTATTTTGGTAATTCAAAACGTGTCAGTGAATAATGTATGCCACGTTTGGAGTGAATGACGTATTTTGGCTCTTTGATTTTTATTAATAGGCCGGGAACAAAAGCGAAAGCGGACGAGCCGACTTTATTTGCTGACTTTCCAAGTCAGCTTTCCTTTTCTGAAACCGCTCTATTTTCTGGACCATAAACCGCCAGACAAATACGTACGTGCCAGCAAATCGATACTAAGAAAGAGTATAATAGACCCTTTTTGTTGAACGAATCTCGGATTTCGTCATTTTGGGTCATTTTTAACACTCACGCGAAATTCCCCCTTTTTTAAGTCTGCCTGAAATGAACAAGGGACGAACCGGACGCCACGACTTTAGCCTTCGATTAATGCACGCAACACGCTCACGCCACGACTACAAACGAAACGCGTATGTCGATCAAAATGAGAACGTTGCTGGATTTGACGGCAAAATTTAGCCGTTTAAACCGTGAAGTAGTGCGAATTTAGCATGTTAAATTTTTGATACTGTAAAATTTCGGTTATAAGCCCTTGCCTAATACTAACTACTTAATAACCGGGCGCGAGGGCTTAACTGTAAAATTCCAGACTGAGGGATGAAATTTTTGCTTTATGGACCGAGCCTCTGGGCGATAAATCAAAATTTCAGCCCGAAATTATGGAATTTTACAGTAAAGCCCGAGCAAACAATGTTATTAAGTTTTTCTATAATATGGCTTCAAGTAGGTAAAGCGCGCGAAATAGAGTGAACTTCTACATTGCCTTCATTTTCCGTCACAATTTCGTCAGGATAATAAAATTCAGAAAAGAAATGTTTTTCAGAACGCATAGTTAAAGAAGAGATACGTTTTTTGTTCAATTTCTTGCTTTTTTAACGAAGTTCCTTTCAGCGAAAGTCACTAAGTTCGCTAGGTTTTGTAAACCAAAACCGTGGCGGAAAAAATCTGCTATGCCCGTGGGCGTTTACCGGGGGATTACGGACCGCTAATTAACCAATCTGAGCGCGCGTACTATCGCAGCCATATAATAAAACTTTGTAAAGGGTTTTGGGTAGGTTTAGCGGATTGAAAAGCGTTTGGAAACAAGCCATGGTAATGTTGATCTAAATTCGTTTTTAATTTAAAGTCATATTAAAGCAAAATTTCCAGTTAGCACTGTCATCCAGCAGAGGGGGGAAGGGGGGTTATCGGGGGGCCTATAACTGGATTGTTTTGTCTGCAGGTAGATAATCTAACCAGAATTTTACAGTATACACTTCGGGCTGTTTTACACGGTACGAAATTATCGCAGCGTATTCAACAATTTTCCAGGCTGAAGTCGCACGACTTTATATTTTCAAAGCCAGCCGTCTATCATACTGCATTTTTTTTTTATTTCAACCAGTACACGACTGAAACAGGACACATCCAAAGCCCGCTCGCGGTAGTCTCCCCCACCCACTATATGATGCTAAAGTTCCCACTGAGGCAAGTTTTCACACGCGAAGTGAAAACACTTGGTAACGTTATCGATCAATAGGAATGCCTGCGAGTGTGTTAATCGACCGAACTACATAACTTGAATAAGTACGCTACGGTTTTTTTTTTTTTTTGGATCATTGGTTCTCGCCACCTTTTGCTTTTTGTTTTCGGCACCACGTTTCCGTATTACATTTCCATATTATTATTTGAAATGACACCCCCCCCGATAAAAAAAAAAAAAATTGGATGATGAATAAATTTGGAACTTATTGAACAATTATTTGTTTGTTCATTCAAAGAGGGTATTCTTACGTTAAAAAATAGCCGAATAGCCGCTATGATGGAAAGGGTATTCTGATAATAGTAATGAAAGGTAGCATCGTGAGGGAATAACATCATTTTCCAGGTTCTTCCATTCCATAATCTAACAGAAATACTTAACAATTATTCCACGAGTACGCATTGGATATGAGCTGGTAGATAGCCAACCAGAGGATTGAAGTTGGCTATAACCATGTCTTACCCAACACACGCGAGTGGAGAAACTGTTTTAATAAGAACTACCACGTGGTAACAGCGAATCTTGCTATATTTATCTTATCGTAAGGAAGACAATTTTTGTAAAGAAAACCATCCACTGGCCGCTAAACAAATCAAAACTTAGTTATACAACTTACTTGACAACATTTGGTGATTGAAAAGTACTCTGACGTTAAAATTAAACAGTGGTAAAACAACAGAGTAACAAAAAGTTAAAAAAGTAACATTTTTAAATTTGCACGACATTCTCATGTCATCTTTAGCTTAACAGCTGTACATTTGATTTTTCCAGTGTAAATAGTATGTTATAAGGTTACGTCATAAACCTGACGTCATAAATTTGAAGCTACTATGTTCCGTTGCGATTCACTGAAAGGGAAAATTTTGGAATAAGGTTTTTGCTGAGAGTCTTGCTGCTTAACATGGAAGTAGCCGAACATTTTCAACTTATTAAAAGATACAAAAGTTTAATGGTAAGAATTACTGATAATTAGTGAATTGGAGAAGGGAGCGTAAAGAAAATTTCTCTTTTCGCGGCAGTGTCTCAAACGTTTTGGCCAAACTTGTAGCTGGCTTATGGCTTCGAAGAGAATAAACTACCGGCAAGCAAGCAGTTTCATTATGTCCTTCCTGTGTGCTGTCATCTCACTGAAGTTCCACGACCGTGAAACAACTTGAGGTTGTGAAGAGGTCATAAAATCAAGGGCCGCTAGAATAACCCCAACGCCACAACTGCCGCTTCCAATTAGTTGGCCATCTGTCGGTTGTCTCGGCATTCCAAACCTTTTGAATGTTTTTACATTACGCCAGTCATCCAGAGAAAAGTCATCGCAGTCTGGAAACTTGGACTGAAGCTCACTCATGATAAGAAAGACTTAAGAAGTTTTGGAGAAAGAATATCCAAGGCCATCATCAAAATACGCTTCTTTGTTTTTTATATCGAGGACCATTAGTCCCCAATGTACATTGTCCATGTTTACCGGAACCAATACCAAGCCTAATAAGCCAGGCTTGACATTTTGCAACATTTCTTCAAAACATTGCCGGATAAAGCTTCTCTCTCCCGTGTTGAGCCAGGTAATAGTGTGCGCTGGAAGACAGAGTAAAGACTCGTTTAAATCGCATTTATGCTGCAATCTGGAAATTGCTGTGTCAATTACAGTGTTACCATCTTTTGTTATTGAACTGCATGATAAGTATGTTAAGATACAACTTTACTTTTTATCAAGTCAACAAAATTTCCTGAGAGCGGTTTCTGGCCACCTTATACTTCTAAAAGCGCTCCTGTATGATCAGCATGTTGATAAGATGCAACATTTTGCTAAGTTACCAAAACTTCCTGGGAGTGGTTTCATCGCCGAAGTTAACAGAACTTCCTAGAAGGAATTTTCGAGCTTTGGAGCCACCTTAGTTTTCAACATCTCCCAGCAAATATATAGCCACATTTGTAGCAGTAACTGACAATAACCTATGGAATGGCCTATCTAAAAATAAGAGCTGGAAAGTGATGGAAACTATTTGTCAGCCTCTTTTATTTTACTTTATATTTACTTATATTAACTTTGTTACATGCGAAAAATTCTGTGTAAGGCATTCGACATGCATATGACTATATTGCATAGTTTATACAATGTAGCACTCTACTTGAAGGCTACATAACATATATTGACTTACTGGTCAGTGAACTTGTAAAATGAATTGCAGATTTCTTTTGCCATCTGCCGGATAAAGCAATAGCTAAAGAGTTGTCATGGTTCCTGTTTGTTTCAAGTATGCATTGCTTGTAATTAAAACTTATTACATCACTTACACTTTTGTAGGCATCCTGTTGATACTGAGCAACATAATTCTGGACTTCCTTTGGGTACTTCTTGTTTTTTCGAAGAATGGACAGCTTTGCAACAACTTCCTGTTGTTTTGTTTTCCAGAACTGTACCTTAGTATCTAACTCCTGCTGTAGCAGACCTAACAAAACGGTCCCAAATAATGAGAGTGTCAAAGGAATTTCGCTTGTTCACAAAACTGGAGCCTTATTTAATTGAAATGTTTAATAAATGGTATTGCATAGCTTTTCAAAGTGGTGTTTAAAGAGATGATAACTTAACCCTAACCCCTAACCCTAACCCTAACCCTAACCCTAACCCTAACCTTTATATCACATGTTAAAGAAATAAGTTTTCTTTTTGTATACGTTGTTATAATAAATTGCAAGTTTGATGGGATGTTAAGCTGGCTTAACATCCCATCAAACTCACTAAGCTGGGTATTACATTGAACCCAGTGAAAAGAGAATTTGCTTACCTGTACTGGCAATGTCAAGTGTGTCAGTGTGAGTTCCCCAATCTCTAAAAAACTTTCCTGACTCGTTCAGATGCAATAATTTTAATAAGTGTGTTGCAGTGATAACATAAGTATGCGATTCACATAAAGGACAACACAAGGAATAGTGCATATGGCAAGCACTTCAATGATCAATATGACTGAGCATTTACCAGTATTATATAAGAAATAATGAGCTAGAACTGACAGTCGGTCATCAGGAAAATGCCAGCCAGTTTGGTCATGTTTGACAAAACTGCAACTTTGGTCAAACATTTAAGTAACAAAATTAATTGCTCAACATAATTCTGTAGATTAGAAACAATTTCTCATTTAGTTCAGTTGCTACACATACGAAAGGATGAAATTTAAAAAGAAATTTGAGAACTAGAATCAAAATAATCATAAAAAGTTTTGTTAGACCAGAGGGATTTTGAAAGTCAGATATATGTACTATTGAGAAAAAAAAAATGGCACTCTAGCAATAAATAATAAGCATAGCACACCTTGGACTTGCAGGCATAACCAAATACAATAATAATAAAAACTTACCAAATCTTTCGGCATGCATGTCTCCAAAATTCACGTTGACGTGATGTCGTGATGCCGATATTAGATATCCCAGAAGCACTCAGGCATACAATTATGCCAGGACTTCAACCTGGGTGAACCAGAGAGGATATATAACACTTGCTAGATCTTCGATACCATGTGTGAACCAAAATACTTATTATGTTATATATCCCAGAAGCACTCAGGCATACAATTATGCCAGGACTTCAACCTGGGTGAACCAAAGAGGATATATAACTCTTACTAGAACTTCGATACCATGTGCGAACCAAAATACTTATTATGCTATATATCCCAGAAGCACTCAGGCATACAACTATGCCAGGACTTCAACTTGGGTGAACCAAAGAGGATATATAACACTTGCTAGAACTTCAAAACCATGTGCGAACCAAAGTACTTATTATGTTATATATCCCAGAAGCACTCAGGCATACAATTATGCCAGAACTTCAACCTGGGTGAACCAAAGAGGATATATAACACTTGCTAGAACTTCTATATCTTGTGCGAACCAAAATACTTATTATGTTATATATCCCAGAAGCACTCAGGCATACAACTATGCCAGGACTTCAACCTGGGTGAACCAAAGAGGAAATATAACACTTGCTAGAACTTTGAAACCATGTGCGAACCAAAATACTTATTATGTTATATATCCCAGAAGTACTCAGGCATACAACTATGCCAGGACTTCAACCTGGGTGAACCAAAGAGGATATATTACACTTGCTAGAACTTCAAAACCATGTGCGAACCAAAGTACTTATTATGTTATATATTCCAGAAGCACTCAGGCATACAATTATGCCAGGACTTCAACCTGGGTGAACCAGAGAGGATATATAACGCTTGCTAGAACTTCGATACCATGTGCGAATCAAAAGTAATGCTCATGTTATATATCCCAGAAGCACTCAGGCATCCAATTATGCCAGGACTTCAACCTGGGTGAACCAAAGAGGATATATAACACTTGCTAGAAGTTCGATTTACCATATGTGAACCAAAATACTTATTATGTTATATATCCCAGAAGCACTCAGGCATACAACTATGCCAGGACTTCAACCTGGGTGAACCAGAGAGGACATATAACATTTGAGGGTCTCTACTGGTATTCTGAAGAAATCAAAGATTTATGCTGAAAAAGGAAGATCTCGTAACTGAAGCTTAGGCTTAAAAGTTTATGTAACGCAATGATTTCAATCTAGATAATGAACAAGTAGATCATCTTGCGCACAGCCTTTATGTGATTCTTGTTCAGAAGAAGTGGAATGTCAGATTTCGTCTAGATAAACAAATGCAGACATAACAATATCTTAATGAATCAATAAAAGAAGGCATTACTGGGTTGGAAATTAGCACTTGCCCACTTGCCCAGGCGAGTGTCAAAACTACTTGGGCAAGTAAAAATCCTAGGCTTTTTGTTGCATTTATTAAAGGCACTCGCCCGATGGCCAGTGCTGTCAAAATTAAGTTTCCATCCCTGGCATTACAGATCAATGAACCCATTAAAATGTAAAATGGTAATAGAATGATTATAATATAATGTGGAATCCATCAATAATGATAAGAGCACAAATAAATGTTTAGGTAAGGAAAGACATGTCTTGTGAAATAAAAATACTGAGATCAAGTTACAGTTTGAGTTCTAATATAAACTACTCTATTTTAGTCACACTGCTCATCAGTGAAAATGATTTTAGTTAGATGAGGCATGGTTAAAGGGGGGTGGGGTGTCAAGGGCACCTCAGGAACCCCTTTAGCCATGCCCTTGACAAAGTTTAGCAATAAAAAAAGAAAGAGGAAAAACAATATTTCTGTTTGTTATTTTTCTATTTATCTTTGTACTTTGTATCGGTATATTGTTTTATTATATCATAATTAAATAAATTTTGACCTCCAAAAGAAACAGATAAAGTTGACCAGAATTTAAATACAGGGGTGGCAGATTTTCTCCACTCACCAATTTAATCAAACACACTAACTGGCAATACAAAATGATTTAAAGAGATAAAATGATTTACCTTAGTTCGCCCTAACTTTGTAAAGTTCAACAAGGTTTGCCATCCTTGGTCTGGGATCCGGGACTGCAGCTTAAAGTAAAGCAACGTCCAATCGGGCACACGAAGGGATTTAAATAATTTTGGGGCACTGTCCCCCAGTATTGCTTCCAGGGCTTGCTTCGGGTCTTTTTTTCTCAGCAGCTGTTCTGCGATATCGCTCATCACTTTAGCCACTTCAACATTCTGGTCCACCTGATCGGCGAATAAAGATGCAAGAGGCACCTGGAACTTATCGCAAACATCGCCGATCAAGGTCCACATATCGCTTGTACTGTCCGGGTTGTCCTTTGCCGGGTCCTGTGTGCCTGAGCTCAGCGTCGATTGACCGCCGTTTTTCACCTCATCTCGAAGGGCCTCTAACTGGGGAAGCACAACTTCAAGTTCAGCCTTAAGCTTAAGATTTTCATCTTGACTCTTCTCGATATCCTCTATGGATATGGCTGACCTTGAATCGACTCCAAATACTGTTTGTACAGGGTCATGAATTTTGTCCTTGTTGTTGTCACGTGTGTCATCGCTGTTTGGCAATCTTCATTATCTTGGCCAATATTTAGGCTGTTGATGCCATCAACCAACCAACTGTACTTTTCTTCTTCGCCCGCTTTTAGTTTTTGCCGAAGTATCGCGGAAACAACGCCGAAAGAAGAGGCTATGAATACCTCTTCTTTGTGAACTAGTCGTCGATAAATTCTTTTGGAAAGCTTGACACCAAAGGGCTACTCGACATGAATTTTCCTACAGGAATGCCGCATATTTTGGAATTCAGGAGATACCAGTCCCTCGAATCGCTCGTGGAGTGCAGCAATTCAGCTCTTCGAATATCGAAGGCATCCATGCCGCACAGCACCTGATCGAAATGAGAACAAATTTCCCGCTCTTGTGAGTAATGTCTGAAATTCAACCTCAAGAAATGTCAAAAGAAAAATCCAGCCCCTCAAAATAAACAGGATTGACGCCATTGGAGGTTGTACACAACGGTGTTAATGTAATCACCGAACGCTCCCCTGTTGAAACTACAAATCGAAAGCGATGATAGCTACTGAGCCGGATCATGACGTCACACCATAGCAACCAAACCCCACGAATTTTTGAACATCCGGTTTGTTCTGGCTCGTCATGCGGGGATGTAGCACTCTTATGAACCATGATAATCTATCCCCATTTAGCTTCCAAGTTTGAAAGTCGCGAAATTTTTCGCACGCAAGGTATCCTGGAATTTTCAAATTCTAATTGTAGCGTTCTTACATTAGTTTTCCGGTATAACAAAGGTGGCACGTGGCATTATCGCTCGAGAGAAAGAGTATATCGTAGTTGGAGTAACAGAGCAGTTGCATCTTAGGAGTGTATGGGGTGATACAAGTCCACAGATGCAGTACTATCAATAGCTGGAAACTCATCAAGAAGGGCCAGTAGTGTAAACGGCTAAATCTAGCAATGGTGTTTGGTTCGTTGCCAGCATTTGTATTGGATGCATTATATTCCGCTTCCCATCCATCCCGTTAAGGCAGTACAATTATTGTCTCGCTTATGATAGAAAACTCGATAATTTGCCCGAAGACATCTAAGTGTTTCGTGTCACGTTTCATGTGCGCGTGTTGATTCGACTTTTCTGGCAACGAGTTACGAAATGCGCAATGTTCCTTTCATTGTGCTTCATTGATTTTGGGGTTTCATTATCGGAGATCTCACCTTTAACCACAAAGTACACATTTAGTACAATTAGGCGGGTGGGTGTGTGTTCTATCGTCGCAAAGAACATTTACTTGCAACGTTCAAATTCTCAATTTAGGCCCTGCTGATGCAATACGGATTACGGTTTACGGAGATAAGTTATGGAAACGCCCAAGAAAAGGCACAGCAGCTTCCTAATTAATGGAAGAGAAGGGATATCGCTGAGCTCAAACGATATATCGTTGAGTTCAAATGATAGATCATTGAGTTCAAACGATATATAATATATCAAACGACATATAATTTAAATACGTTTATTGAGCCCGTTTAACGCGTTTCTCTTGCCTGCTAGCACAACAGATTCCAATGACAAAAATTTAAGGACTATTTTGGAACTGCTCAAACCTCCAGATGAGTCCTTCCCTTCCAAAGCTATTAATTTTGGTGCTGCGAATGTTCACACGAAAATTTAATGTAAATTATCGCGCCTACGACGTCATATTTCGTTTTCCCAGCGAATCGTTCATGTACCTACTCCATACTGTATTTTAGCAAAGCTTTATCAGAATTCATCAGATAATGTGGTCTATAATTATCAAAGTTACTAGCAATAGAGGTTAACTTAATAAAATGTTGGTTATATGAGATTCTGCCTCTTATCTTATGAATTCTGAAATTGCGATTCTTTTCAGAAGATCTGCAATTAAATATTCTTTCCAAAAGAACTTTCTGCTTCTTTGCCTGCTAGAAAGAATCGTCGTTCTTGAGAAAAAGAATTCCGGATTCTTGTGGCAAGAGTTTCTGAAATTGCGATTCTGTTCGCAATATTTGTGATTAAATATTCTTTCCAGAAGAACTCTCTGCTTCATTGCCCGCTGAAAAGAATTATCATTCTTAAAAAAGAATTCCCGATTCTTGTCGCAAGAGTTTCTGAAATTGCAATTCTATCCATAAGATTTGCAATTAGACATTATTTTCAGAAGAACTCTCTACTTCATTGCCTGCTGAAAAGAATTCTCGTTTTTGAGAAAAGAATTCCCGGTTCTTGTGGCAAGAGTTTCTGAAATAGAGATTCTTCTCAAGATACTCAGATGTCGGATGCACTCTTACCACCAGAATTCTCTCTTCTGTTCAATCTTCTTTCAAGAACCTCGATTCTCCTTGAAGGAGTCACCATTAAAATGATTATTCTGATAAGAATTTTGGTTCTTAAGAGGAGAATATGCTATTTGGGGAATTGAGAGTGTAACTTAATCGTTACACGTGTGGATCATCCCACACTACATAATGTAAGGTCAAGATGGCTGGAAATTGGCCTTGAAATTGCTTTAGATTTGTGGCCGCCCGGTCATTTTAAGCTTGGAGATTTTGCTTCTCGGATTGGGCGCTCGGAAATAGAGTATTCAGCCTTGTCCTTCTCTTCGGAGTAGGATATTTACGAATGGATAACACGCTAAAGTGGCCTCGTTGCAACAAAGTAAGCGGTCAGGCAAAAAGTGATGCACTATGGAAGTAAGGTGAGGTATTTTTATTTTTGTATCGCCATTATCAATCGCATTGCTGTCACCTAGTGAGGCGAGGAGTCATAACCAGTAGAAACAGTGAGGATAATAATCAACCAATCACAGCAGTTCAGAGCTAAACGATCAAAACTGATCCTCGTTCTCGAATGTGATGTGGACCTTCTCGCACAAGGGAGACTTGTGACATATAATGGCAGCTTTACAATCTATTTCATAGATGACGGCATCGTTTCGCAAAGACATACGATTCTACTTTATCGTCACCGTACTTCAGTACGATGAACAACACTGTACAACCTTTTCTTGCGAAAATCAAATATGCTAATAATTGTCAACCCTTTCGAATATTAAATATCTTGCTAGTGGCTTGAGGAAGATTCAAAAGACCGCTTGTGACAGAGAGTTTCAATGGGAAACATCTAGAAACGTTCTCTGGCCTAGATGTGTTTTTTTTTATAAATCTTTCTTTCGTCTAGCTCGAATTTAAACACCTGAAAAAGAGGTTTCAAAAAGTGTAGTTTTGGATCAGTTCTTCCTGCACGGGTATGCAGCAAGGCCTGGTCTTTTCAACAAATACATCATTGGAGAAAAATGCGAAGAGTTGTGTCAACTACATATCAATTTATATCATGTACCACTTCCGGTTTTAAAATGTAGTGTGAAATCAATGCTCGTTGTGAGACTTTTAAAATAAGTTTGGATATCACGTACGATATGAGTTCATATTAACGTCATCGCTCTTTATTAATACAAGCCGGTCTAGCAGGACAAATGGCACAATTACGTCTTTTCAGTGAATTTTATTTAACTCATAGGAGACGATAAGAGGAAAAATTATCTAACTCTACAACATACGCACGAAGAGGCCAAAACAATTTGCGATTCTCGACTTTCACAACCAAGCACTCTGCAACTTGTCAGCTACAGGGGGAAATGCAATAGAGCACATATATATGGCCACGTAAAAGAACCGACTCATCAAATCATCATGGATAGACACGTTTCTCTATTTTTATCGAAGCTGGGGTCATGAGATTACATTTTCTCTTAGATAATGTCACGTCTAGCGACTACAGGTATTTTTTTCCACTGACGTCTTGAATTTTTACTTAGAGAACTCTCTGTTATCACATCTCACCAATTAGTCTGGTGATTTCTTTTGGTTCGGATTCTTTGGTTTGATCCTTCGGTAGTGCAAAGGCCATATGCAAAAAAAACAAAAAAATGCGAGGAGTGATATGTGCAGGTAACCAATTACGCAACATCGGGAATGATGACTCCTGACAACATCCTTTACCGATGGTAGAATTTCACGCCATTAGCAGTCCAACAAAGTTGACGCGAAAAGGATAGCAGCAAAATATTTCTTTGCGTTATTTCCAAGTTAAGATTGTTTAAAAAAACTGAACCGTGTATTTATAGAGACTGCAATTAGAGACAACTTTTTTATCATACGATATCCTCCAAAAATAGATAAATACAATTTGAGCGGGGAACTTGCATGAAGCACTTAAACTTCGTGACAGCTTTAAGTCGTAGACTGTATGCAGTTCGATGTATCAATTCCAGGCCGTTGACATACGATTGAAGTGGACGCGAAACCGACGTCACGACGATGTGTGACAAAAACAGTAAAAAAGCACAAAAAAACAATTCAGTCTTAAAACTCGGATTTCTGAACCATCGATGAGCTTTACCTGGTATCCTCAACAAAGGCTTTGATGCAAGACGGCTTCTCGATTAATCTGCTTGCGTAGTGAGAGGTCACTGTGAAACCGATGCAAAATACAAAGGAACGAAACATCTACACTTCAAAAATTTTGAGTAATTGTTTGACTGTTAAACAATGTTCTCGGAAGTCCAAAAGTGCCCTAGAGACGCTAAGGAATAAATTGGGGGCATTTTTAAGGAAAAACGTAATGTTTTCGAATATGATGTCGGTACTGCTTATGAGTAAGACTTCTAACGAAGTTTCCTTGCGAGGAATGTTGGTTTTAAGAGTTATCTTTGATAATGCTAGTATGTCGGTATAAATAGAATTATGCTTCTGTCACAAGTAGACTCAATTATTCGTTATTTGTTCTGTTTCGTGTGTCTCTTGATAAAAATGAAGAATTGATTTTATAACAGGATGACCGTTTATCAGCAAGAGAAAGGCTTTCAACTGGTTTCTGCTCTAATCTGTCCTTAATGGTGACGAAAATCCAAGTATTCATAATAAATAAACACGCCTCCCATGCTGAAGATAAAGAAACCTTTTTACGTCATTTTAGCACACGATTATGCTTGACCGTTTCCCATGTATACAGACAAGAAAACCTCTTTAGTTGTTTTCTTTTGAAATATAACTTATTAATTGCTGTTTAATTTTTTTCACTGTCTCCGAAATTGTTAGACGGTGAAACGTCTTTCCGGGAAGTCCAAAAGTGCCCTGGAGACGCAAAGGAATAAATTGGGACATTTTTGTGGTAAAACGTAATGTTTTCGAATCTGATTTCAGTACTGCTTACAAATAAGATTTCTGTAGAGGTTTTTTGTGTGAAAAGCTATTTTTTTTTCTATGAAAAACAGTGCTATTCAGATCTTGAAGTAAAATCGTAGAATAAGTTTATCGACGCTGTTTTGTAAACGTGCGAATGAACAAAGTCGATGAAAATAGCCTTAGGAGTTGTTTTCGCCCGTCATCAAATGTGGAAAAAAGAAAAGGAAACGATTGAGTATGTTGAAAAGAAGTTTAAATATCCAGCAGTAATTGTTCAAGAAGTAAACTGGGTAGCTTTTCATTAGGCTTTCCAGATGATGTTTCTGAGTTTCGGTTATTGAAAAGGATCCTTGAAATCGTAATTTAGGCGCTCTAAATTGTCCAGGGCGTTATACGAAAATAGTTGGCTTACATTGAACTAAAATATTTCCCGTCCAGGAAAAGGAAGCATTGTAACGTATAAAAGCACTCGGCTGCTGCAATTTTTACATCATAACTTCGCGGTGTACATATCGATTATCTCAGAATATCAAGTGTAAACTGAATCTTATTTTCGCACAATGTTTTGTATTTCACCAAGTTCTCTCTGCAGTGTGCTGCTTATAGCGTGGATTTCCTTAAGTCAGACCTTGGCTCAAAGTTTCAAAGGCAAGTGCCTAACAGCACTTGAAGTTGACAGGATGGTTTAAATTTTTGTGTTTAGCATGTCAGACTCTCTAGATCTGCAAACACAAACCACTGTGATAATTTTGTGTTTACACTTGAAACTCGTTTTTCCTTTTTTCTCCAGTTTGTTAGATCAATTTTTTTTCACGTATCACCAATATCTTTTGCTCAACAGCTAACTGCGCTGAACTGTACGTGGCTGGCCAAAATACCAGCGGTGTCTACAAAATCGACCCTGATGGTTTAGGTGCCTTTTATGTGTACTGTAACCAGAGTGCGGCTGTTGGAGGATGGACAGTGATCCAGAGAAGACTGAACGGCTTTGTCAATTTTAATCGTAGCTGGTGTGACTACAAGCATGGCTTCGGTAATTTGAATGGCGAGTTTTGGCTAGGACTGGACAAAATAAACCGTCTCACTTGGAGAACGAAGAACCGGCTTCGAGTAGATCTGGAATTCAATAGCAATAACATTATTCATTATCCTTACGCCGAGTACGACTTTTTTGGCGTTAAATCGGAATTGGATAATTATCATTTGATTATCGGAGGGAATTCTTCAGGTAGGTTAGTCGTTATGCCTTAATTACCATGATTAATAGAAAACGTAGTATCTAAACAATTCACCAGCTTGATGTTTTGCATTAATAAGTACCCTCAAAGAGTTTTTATCGAATTGTTACGACATAAAAATGAAGAAATCTTTCATAGTTGTCTTGCAATTAGATTTACTGTCAACAAAATCTGATCAAAATTTTTAACTCGTTCTTTTGTTTTTGTTTTTGTTTTTGTTTTTTGTTTTTTTGTTTTTGTTTTTTTTCAGTTTTTCTCTTCTGTTAGAGGAGTATCTAATTTGATTTATCAAACAATTATTTACAATATCTTTCGTACGAATTTCAATGGCCTTCTTTGTTTTATGATGCCCTGTGGGTGTTGTGTTGCCTTTCGAGGGATGGCAGGATGACCTCGTTGACATGTGCTTTAATGAAGTGGAATTTAATTGTATTGCATTATATCATTATTTTATTGGAGGCTGAAAACCCGAGATTTATTTTTAACCGAGTTACCTCTACCTATAAGAATAAACAGGGTTTGTAGTTTTGTCGGATTTTGATTCAAGTTGTCAGATATTGACGCCTCAAAGGGTGTGAGGTTTTACAAAATTCAAAATATTTTTCGGATGGCATCCAGGTGCGTGACAACAACCAAGGTATTTTCTTTTGTCCCACTTAAAATAAGATTTTCTCGCACCTTTTGTTAACCTACTTTGTTTTGATGTCCACGGTAACGCGGGCACTGATAATTATTTCAAGAAAACACCTTCAGTTTTGTCTTAAAAAGGCTTGCTTACTTCAAGAGACTAAACGCTTATATTTTGTCTGCATTTGTCTTTAAGATTAAATAACGTTTTTATAAGAATTTTCGTCATGACAAGGCGTAAAAACGAAGAAAAAGGTTCAGGGCAGCTGAATGAATAACCACTAATATTGAAATCATCACACAGAAAAGAACAGCTTGTAATCAAGCGAAATTAACCTCTGGCCTATACTAAACATCCGTCCACCCTGCATATGGCGGAAACTACCAATAACTTTACTGGCTTTCCGCGTCATACGTTTCACGGTAGCCCTGTATGACTGTATCAAGAAGGCCAGTATTATAATACTTGGCCTTTGATTCTATTAATATTGTTGTTTTTCCTCTTTTTCTAAAGGAGATGCGGGTAATTCTCTTGATAGAAATAACAAGGTTCCATTTTCAACAATGGATAAAGACATGTCCAAAGATAATTGCGCTCATAAATACGAGGCTTGGTGGTATCCTACAGATAAATGTGACTGCGGTAACTCTAGCCTCAATGGTAAATACAAACAGAAAAACGCCCTAAGATGGGAAAATTGGGATAAACATATTCCAGACTTGTCCGCAACAAAATCTGAGATGAAAATCAAGCCAGATTGCGCAAGAACATAATTTTGTTTAACATGTATTATTTGGTAGATAAGGTGACAGTGAAATGAAATGAAAATAGGCGAGCTGATTCTTCTAGGCTCGAGCGTAGCGTTTAAAATTTTAGTTATTGTGGCAGGGACCAGGCTGAAAACCTTTATATTTTATGATCACTTCGGTCGGCGTGTTTGTTATTTTCATGGACAGGCAAGTCTTCTTTTAACATGCTGAAACTTATCAAACCGGAAAACCCAAGATACATTTTTACACTAGTCGAGTCTTCCAGTGGAAAAGCATCATCATAGACTCGTCTTTGTTATTTTCTTTATTTTTCATTATTCTGATATTGTGCAATAAACAAAACGCTGATGGGCAGGTTTTACTTATATGAGTACGTGTAATAGGTAAGACCATACTGGTTAACAATTTACTAACCAAGGCATTGATTTTAAAGAGTTTATGTGCATGAGTATTTGATTATTACGTCCCATAGCAAGTTTTTTCTCCACTGGTTTACCCTACCAATTTGCTCCATCAAACATTTTAGTTCGTCCCTTTCTTTATCAGTTAGCCCTCAAATATTCCATCTCCTATTTCTCACTGCGGAATGTGTCCTGTGTATTCCTGCAAAAACTTTGGCATGCTCCTTAGCCGAGAACATGTCGATTAATCTCAAACAATGCAGAAAGTTGAAATTAAACGCAATAAGTTGAAATTGAGTGCAGAAATTTGAGTTTCACTGATTGACAAATAAGTTCCTGAAGTACAGAAAAGAAAAAAAGAGAGGACGGACAGCCTAGGTGAAAGTAACAATTTTTCTGTTCAGAAACCTAGGGTGAATAAAAAGAACAAAAGCACACAACAAGGCAAAAACAAGTATGGAATGGAGGCCCCTAACATAATTTTGGAGGGGAAAGACAAGAAAGATGACTGACGTGATAATCGAGGGTCCGGATAATCGAGAATATGAACATTAATGAAAAACAAAAACTGATTAAATTAAGAAAGCGACATTTAATGGTCTGGTCTCTGAGTTGTCGACAAACTTCATAATCTTTTCCGTGTTCTTGCGGGTATCAGATATCTGCTGTGTAAAAACTCCACATTCAGCAGACAACTTGTTTTCTTTTTCTCCTCTCTTTAGTCACAATTACGAACAAAAACAGGAGACGGCAGGAGAAGAAACCAATTCCAACATTTTTGCGTTTTTGTATTTTCTATGCATAACTACAAAGTGCGTTTCTTTGAAAATAGGCACCCTAAGGATCCAACAGAATAAGTTTTTAAGTTGTATGATCGATGAAATTTTGTTAACAGGGATCTAAAAGAAAAAAAATTACTGAACAATGTTTTTTATCAGCAACTATATATGCTTTAAATAAGTCGAACTGGTTTTCGAGGCTCGCGTTCTGATAACAACTGGAACTGAATCAATTATTTGAAGCAATTGTTTTTAATTAAAAATCAAAACTTGCTTAGCTAATAAAATTATAGCATTAAATGTAAAATTCGATGCCTTTTGGAAAACAAACGGAATTTTTCATAGAAGATGCCATTTTTTTGTATGATTTTATTTTCATCCAACAGAGACGAAGTAAACCGGACGACAACTGGGTAAGAAACATCTCTTCCCGTCCCTTAGACAAGAATGAAACTCGCGTACTGTCATACGGACTGAAACACTCAGTTACTCCGTAGCGAATACCGACCGAAGCTATTGTATCTAATGTTGAGGCGGCTCTGTCTCGACAACGAGAGCTACCTGAGTCTACTAAGGATAACATCAGAAGTAGAATTGCTTCCACTATACAATCAGCGTCACTACATGGAGCAACTTGACTGAAGACGAACAACATGCTCTTAAACGACTGAGAAACGACAAGGACATAGTTATTCTACCAGTCGACAAAGGACGAGTTACTATTGTCATGGACAAGACTGACTATCACGACAAAATGGACGCACTTTGTTAACGACAAACAGACTTACGAAGAACTCAACGTGACCCGACTCCTGCGCTTCAACGCAAACTTAACGGCACATTACTGACACTCAAGAAGACGAACGTCATTGACGCCCAACGCTACTACCTACTAAGGTGCTCAGTACCACAGCCACCGAAACTTTATGGTCTGCCGAAACTACACAAACCTGGTTTCCCAATGCGACCTATTGTTTCCTTCTGTGTTTCTCCGACATGCCAACTGTCCAAGTACCTAAAGACAATACTACAACCGCTCACCGAGAAATCCAGACGAAAACTACAGTCCACCGAGGACTTCATTAACGCCACTAAGACTGTACAGATACCTGACGACTACAAACTAGTGTCATTTGATGTGAAATCGCTTTTTACAGGTATTCCATTTCAACTGGCACTACAATGTATTGAGACTGCTATCCTACAATCTACCGACCCTCTACCGCTACCGACAGAAGACATTATGGACTTACTAAACCTTTGCATGACATCAACTTACTTTCAGTACAACGGCAAACACTACAAACAGTTACACGGTACAGCTATGGGGTCTCCAGTTTCTGTCTTTGTAGCAGAAATTGTGAAGCAGAACATCGAGGAAAGCGCCCTTTCGACTTGCCGACAGACGATACCACTTTAGTTACGCTACGTTGATGATACTTTCACCGCCGTACGACACGACGAAATCGACGCATTCAACCACCACCTTAACGAACAAAACACTGACATGCAGTTTACTAGAGAGGTCGAAGAAAATGGTAAACTACCTTTTCTAGATTGGTTGGTAAGCCGTGACGACAATTCACTACGGACAACAGTTTACAGGAAACCGACACATACCGACAGATTACTGGACGAGTCATCCTACAACCCGACATAACACAAAGCCACTACTATCAGTACTCTTACCCGACGAGCGCAATTAGTATGTAATACGACAGACAGCTTATCCGACGAGAACAAGTACCTCAACCGTGTTTTTTCAAAGAACAACTACAACGAAGACTTTATCCAACGTAACACTCACGGACCTACTACTACTACCGAAGCTAACGACAACGCAACTCATACGACCACAGCCACTATACCATACATAAAGGGCATATCTGAAAACATCTCACGCATCCTACAACCATTCAATATCCGCGTCGCTCACAAACCTATTACCACACTACGTCAGTTACTGACTAACATCAAAGACAGAGACGAACGAGGAACAGACAAGGAGCAGTATATAAGATCAATTGCTCCGACTGCCACGCCTCCTACATCGGTGAGACTGGCAAAAACCTCGCAACCAGACTGACTGAACACAAACGAGCGACGAGGAAAGGCGATGTCAACAATCACATTGCTGAACATCACCGACTTACGAACCACACTATTGACTGGGACTCTGCGCAATGCTTAACCTACAGCACCAACTACTTTCATCGACTGACCCTGGAAAGCTGGTTTACTAACTTGGAACAGACTCCCCTCAACAGGTGTCAACCACTACCGGTACCACACAAAAGATTCGCCACGACGTTAACATTGCAAACGAACCGAAAAGAACGACCTGACTTCACTAACGGATCCAAACCGACCAATCACGACTGACCTACGCCAATAACATTACGGCAAAACTGACCAATCAGTGTACACAAACCGGACTAAGTACATTCGACTGACAACAACCTTTCACTTGACTCTGATGATGACTTCCGCTCAGGTTGTCGAAACGTCAGTCACCACTACCGGCAACAGTCCTTCTCAGGACTACACTCACCCGGACGATCAAACTACACTATTACATGTTACCCCGGGTTCAAACCATTTACTGTAGTACAAGTAATGGAACTAGCTTCATTTCTGTAAGTTTATTAGAATATAAAGGTATCCGTTTTTAAATAGTGATATATCACATTTGGCGACTGCAGCTGTGCTCTATAGACTCAGTTGATATAATTTACCACACTGGCTTCAAAAGCAATTCACCCGCATATAGAGGCGACAGTTACAGACCCAAAGTGGATGAAAGGGAGAGATTGGAGGAGGAAAAAGTAAAGAAATAAATAACAAACAAACAAGCAAACAATCGAAAAGAAATGATGAGGAGAACTAAAAACAAAAGGGAAACAAAAAAGTGGGTTTCTTCACTCTTTTCAAGTCAAAAGGAAAGAAGAAAAATCATCGCGCAGAATGTCTATTGTTCTCGAGGCATTTAATTGCAGCAGCGAAAAAATTATCAAAAATATTATGAAGGAAAACCTGCAACTAAATTGGATTCCTCAGATGCGAGAATGCTGCTCCTGATGCTTTGCTTCCAGTGTTGTTTTATGCAATTCACTGATATTGGCCCAAATCTTCCATTTTCACTTCTGTCATAAAAAAACTTTTTTCCTTTTCGAATAATTCCTGCTCTGAGGTTGGATTCAGAGGGATATGAAGCGTTGTCCTTTATTCATGATGGTTGACCTTGTACGAACAGCCGCAGTGCAATTGAAAGTAACATTGGAACCGATCAAAACGCTTTGGTTTGGATCTTCAACAATCGTTGGTACTTGAGCATCTGCAACTGATTGAGGTTGCACCGTTAGAAGAACGAAGTGTAAAGAGCAGCATTGCTTAGTTAGCAAAGTGACAAAGAAACGTGAGTTCAATGAGTTCTTTAAGAGCTTTAACTGATAAAAATAAAGAGCGACGAAAGAAATACAGAGGTAAACATACCTCTGAAAACAACTGAAGTGTCGTGTTTAACTGTATAGACATGTAGTTAGTCAAAACTGCCGTCAACGACCACTTTAAGTACAAAGTTTACATGAAAGCTGACAGAAGCTGATCGCTTATGTTATTATGTTCTCATGCTTTGCGCCATGACGGCGCAGGCCATTGATTCTCACCTAAAGGTCAGCGACGGAGGAAGGTTGTAACAATGAGAAGTTCAAATGCAGTCGAGATCGTTTTAGGGCTCTATGGAGTGCATTGATATAAAACGAACTGCTGCAAATATTTTCAGTTCTTGTCTTACCTCAATACTTTGGGCTTATGAAAGCCTCAG